GCACAGCAGCGTGGGGGGTGGGGCAGGGGACACTGAGGCACAGCAGCGTGGGGGTGGGGCAGGGGACAGTGCGGCAGCCCGGACCCCCGGGAGGGGCCTGCGGAGAACTTACAGAACCTGGTCGCCCGTCGTCGCCGACCCCGGGCAGCTCAGCTCCTTGTGTATGAGACGGATCAGGAACTACACCCAGAACAAAGACGAGACCACCACGTGACTTCCAGCAGAGACCGAGTGACACGGGCAGGCCGCCACCACTGTGACGACCCCAGCCCCACCCCAGGGAGCCGCCTGCCTGCGGCTGGCCCAGGCTCAGTCCAGCCGCCTGCCCCATGGAGCCTTCTTCACACGCAGCGGACTCCGGGGGCTAACGTGACAGCGAGCTCGCCCCCGCCCCGCCCGGCACGGCCAGCCGGAGGCCCGGGCCCTGCGGCAGGACGGCTGCGAAGTCCTATAGGTCACGACCTCGCCCCCGCCCGGCACGGCCAGCCGGAGGCCCGGGCCCCGCGGCAGGACGGCTGCGAAGTCCTATAGGTCACGACAGAGGGGACGGAGGATGTTCCCCTGGAATCATGGCAAGAAATGTTTAAAATGAAACAAGTCCGATCATAAAATGTCCAAACTGGAAAAAGACGGAAAACAAAGACAAGGTGGCCCGCAGCCACGGTGACACGTGGAGCTCCACAGGTGACCACGGGCGGACGGGCTGTCGCCGGAACAGCCGAGTCTAGGGAGGAAGCTGCTGGGACAGCCCCCACCTCCAGCTCTTTGCCTTCACGTCCCTTTTCTTGGTAAAAGGGCTCAGAGTTCACGAGCCCAGGCTAATGACTAAGTGTCACCCCAAATTTAACTGGTTTTCTTTGAGGCTGGGGACCTAGTCTTTCCCCAAGTGTGACACCAGCCTCACAGAAAAGCACCCATATCTGTGGCAGGAAGCCTTGAAACAGGGGCCTGAGGGGAGTCCTGGCTCGGCTGGCCCCACTTCTCAGAGGGCAGTGGGGCCCTTGGGCCCAGGAGGGACCCCCGGGCTGGGAGGGCCAAGGCGGCGGGTGTGCTGGGGGTGGCGGTTTGAAGGGGACTGAAAACCCACACCCCCGTGCAGGGCCAGGCCCAGGCACGCGCCTCGACGGCACGCGTGTTTATTTAAGGTTCAGGCGGGCGCTGAGAGTCCCTTGTACCCACGACGTGGTAAAGGGACCAACTGTTTCTGCTGCGGACAGGACACAGCCCCGCTGCCCTGCCTGACCCAGAGGCAGAGCGCACTCACTTGCAGGGGTGAAGGTGGCGGGTGGGGACATGGCAGGGGCTAAAAATAGTGCTGGCAGCAAGTGACATTTTTGTTAGCTAAATGGACACTGTGAATTTGAGCCTCCGCCTCCAACTGCCAGCTGAGTTTGAGCTGGTGTCTTAACAACATAAATTCTACCAAGTCCCCAAAGTGAAACGTGTCAGGAGGAAGAAATCTATCATTATGAAAAGCAGGGCATTAGGATAAAGGGGAAAGAGGGGCAGTTAGGCGCGGGCATGTGCGGGCAGGGGACACAGCGTGGACAGTAGCGATAATTCTGAAGGACGGTCAGCTTCTAAGCCGTGGCACGAGTCTGGGCTGCGTGCATGGCTCCCAGCAGGGGGGACATGTGCCAGCGCTTGGCGTTGGGCCAGACGTCTGGAGCCCGGCGTGACATGAATCGGAGAGGTAAGCCTACGGATGGGACACACGCCAGGGGCAGGCCCCCAGCGGACAGGACCAGGGTCAAAGCCAGGGGCTCCTGCCTTCGGCCTCACCCCATCCTGCCGGCGACTGCACACGGCAGACTGCCCTGCTCCGGCTTCTGACATTCGCTTAAACCAGAACCAGCAAGGCCTTGGACCGGAACACGTAGGGACACCGGGATACGTCACAGGCCCAGCTTCCCAAAGAGCTGCAGAGGTCCACGGGCAGAGGCGTCGCCCGCGTCGGGCCGACACCGCAGAGCCGCTCGCGGAGGGCGGCTTGGATTCAGGGCCGGACGACTTACCAGTAAGGCACAGGCGTCTGCGAACATCAGCATGTAGAACACGTTGGTCCACCCCGACGGCGACAGGAGCCCGGCCAGCAGGGGGCCCAGGGCCGCTCCTGAAACGAGCAGGTGGTGACGGGGGCGGCCTGGGCCGGGCCGGACTCCCCGGCCCTCCGGACGCACACAACCGTGCTCAACGACGCACTCGTGGCCAAGGAAAGACCCGTGGAGATGTGCGCACCCCACTCTGACCTGCCGGGTCCGGGGAGAGGGGTGGAGCTCGACCACCCGCGGGACTGCGCGGGGCACGGCCGGCGTGACCCTTTCCTAGGAGCAGATCTAAAAGTACGTTAAGCGGACATCAAAATACTCATTCTTCTGATCCAACAATCCCTGCATCTGACATACGATCTTAGATATTATATTCTTCTGCTGTAAAAACGCTACTTAGGTACGAGCGCTGTGTCGATGCTGATTTTCTGGTTCCGACGGCTGTGCTGTGGCTACGGCAGGGAATTCCTGGTTTGCAGGGAATACGTACTGACTGCACCGCCATTGGAGAGGGGCAGCTTGTCTGCGATTTACCCTTACGCGGGTCAGGAAAAACATGTATTCTGAAGTGCACACGTGTGTGTGTGTGTGTGTGTGATACACATGCGCGTGTCTGCGGGAGACGAGAACGCAAACCGAGTAAATACGAATTCTCTGTCCTCGTTCGCAACTTTTCTTAAGTCTGGAAATATATCAAAATAATTTTTGCCAAGATAATTTGAAAAGAACTATAAAAACGAAAGAGCGATATTTCTCAAAACGCCCAGCGAAGCCTGTGCCAGATGTGCGTTGAGCAGCCGCTTGCCGATTCGTCTGTGCGAGACGAGAACGCAAACTGAGGAAATACGAATTCTCTGTCCTCGTTCGCAACTTTTCTTAAGTCTGGAAATACATCAAAATAATTTTTGCCAAGATAATTTGAAAAGAACTATAAAAACGAAAGAGCGATATTTCTCAAAACGCCCAGCGAAGCCTGTGCCAGATGTGCGTTGAGCAGCCGCTTGCCGATTCGTCCCCTGCGGGGGCCTGGACTAAGCGGTGACGCGTGCATGGCGGCCTCACCGGCGTGGGGGGGACGTACGGGGCCTTCGCACCGAGCCGCGGACCGAGGCGTGGGCTCGGGGACCAGGGCCGCTCAGCCCTTTCCCGCTGTGCAGCTGGGCACAGGTGTCCCCGCAGGTGCGCGCTTCCGTGACCGGAGGAGCCACCGTGTCTTTCTGAAGTCTCAGAAGAACCCGCAGGTAGACACGGTGGGTCGGCCAAAACCAACCGTAACCGAACTCGAAAACGACGGCCTTGCGAAGGGAAGGGCAGAGGAGAGGCGGTGCCGGCGCGGGAGGATGGGCTTTAGGGGGCATGACCACTGGTGGGGGGCCGGCCGGGAGCCCCGCTCAGTCAGGGGTGGCCGAGCGCACGCGCAGGGGAGACGGGCAGCGGGCGGGTCGCCGTCGATGTTCCGTAAGCGCTGTTCCGCACGCCCCCCCGCCCCAGGCCCCTCCTCGGCGTCTCCACTCCAGCGACCCCCTCCTCCACCCACCCTTGGGGAATGTGCAGCAGAGGCCCTGGGCTCGGGGACACCACGGCCAGCACGGGGCAAGGATGAGGCACCGACGGGGCACAGGAGAATGCAGGGGAGGCCACCAGCTTCCACCGAGGAGCCGCCTGCCCTCCCACGCGACGGCGGAACGAGGGCAGCGAGGCCCGGCCCCCAGATTCCACGCGGCTCCCACCCCCATGAAGACCAGCGTTGGGGCGCCCTCCAGCACACAGGGCCCCTGACGGCTGCTTAGTGGCCCTTCTTCCACGCGAGAACAGACGAGGGGACAGCCAAGCTCCACCTGTGCCGGAGGGCAGCGCCGCCTGGAAGCCAACGAGCTGGGAGGGGGGACCCACGGGAAATAAAGCGGGGAGAAGGAAATGCCCGGGAAATGGTCAAACCCACAGAGAACCAACAGGAAATCAGGCCGAGCCGTACAAAGCTGCCCCTTTTGTATCCAGAAACCAACTCGGCGACAGCAATTTCACACGGCTCGGTGCCACACGCCCTGGTCGAGAAGAGGATTCGGTAAAAGGGCAGAAGAGCCGCACGGAACAGCGAAATGGAGACGCCAGAACGACGCGCTCGGCGCCGACGCTGGAGCAAGAACATCTGAGGGAAAAAGCAGATGCAGGGAGGGAGGGAAGAGAGAGAGGAGTGGAGGGACTGACCCAGAAAGTTCCCATCTGAATAACGGGTTTCCCTGCAGGTTTCCGCGGGGAAGCAGGGGGTGTGCGTGCACGGAGGGTCAGGGACGCAGCCGCAGGGACTGGTCTAGACCGGGGCAGAGGGGACGCCGTTTGCATAATAATAAGCTTGTAAGCCTATCTGGCTTCTAAAGTTACAGTATGTTTTACTTTGATAACATTCAAATTAATCAGAGCAAATTCAAGGCTCTACTTAACTGCTCTGCATAAAACACACAGAAGCGACAAGCCTCGCTGAGCACTGAGTGCGCCGAACAGATAACTGTGTCACTGGGACCACAGGGCCGTTGGGGACAGAAGGCGCCGACCTAGTTACAATCAGCCAAGCTCTGCCGCCATGGAAACCAGCACTTCCAGCCCTGGATAACCACGCCCGGCGGGCTCTGTGAGCGGAGCCCTCGCTGAACGCTGCACGTCCGCCCCAGCCCTTCTCTGCTCCTGTCTAGCTGGGCGACACTTATGGAGAGAAATATGGACAGAATCGCCGCTTCCATGGTGACTGTTCCCTGGGTCCTGGTGCACTGGTGGTGGCAGAGCCTGGAAGCCCGACCCCGCCAGGCCTCCGAGTGGATGTGACCGCCCGCCATGGCCCGCATGTCGTGCGGATCAGTGCGGGGGTCGCACAGGGTCCAGCGGCCTCCGCCTGCTCCGTGCTGTGCCCGGTCTCTCCCGGGGTGGGCTCTGGGCCCCGAGCGGGATCTTCGCTGCCATCTTGCTTTGAGAAACGTGCCTTCTCGCCTAATTCACACTCCCTCTTGCCTCAGGCGGCTTCTGCTCGCTGCGTGGAAGCAGCGGTCAGCTCTGAGCAGGGGTGTCACGGCAGGGGCGGATGAGGCACAGACAAGGGCCCCCGGGGACAGAGAGCGGCGAGCAGGCTGTTCCCGGCCCTGCGCGTTAGAACGGGGCTCAGCCCAGGGGTCTTGACTTCGCCTGAGCATCGTCCTCAATGACGGGGTGACACCAGGGTGCAGCCTGAGCCCCCCGTGATGAGCAGTGAGACCAGGCCGTGAAGCCCGGGCTGCGGCTCCCCGCGTGCAGAGGGACGGCCGCAGGACGGTGGGGCAGGGCCCGCACGGGGAGCCGCGGGGTCTCGGGCAGGACAGTCGCGGTGTGTGTGCTCCTTGGTCAAGGCCAGTTCCGTCGGCCCTCTGCCGGGCTGGTAAGAACAGGCTCGGCGGCTACCAGCCGCCCCTGCCCGTCTGTGACGGAGGAGTTGTATGTTTTATCTCCTTTCTTTCCTCCAGAATGTGCCACTGAATTCTCCCCAGGAAACTCAGTGACACGCAGAATCTCGTATGCTTTGGGACCCACCTGTTCCCTGCCATCCACATTCAAATCGGTCTGTCCTTGAGATGACAGGGACAAACAGTCCCTGAACTGGCAGAGCACGGGCCACGGTTTGCTGACGGCGTAAACGAAAACCTGGGTTCTTCCACAGACGGAACTAGTCCCGACCAGGCGCACGCCCATATCGTCTCTGGAACCTTCCGACCCAAGAGGACAGCGGCGCCCCGTGCCACGCCCCAGGGCTTGCGTGCGCTTTGGAACTGCTCACCTGGCGAGCAGGCCAGCTGCTCCTAACACCACCTAGGCAACTGGAACCACGGCATCTGCTAGTTAGGACGTGACAGAGTGGCTCCCCTAAGACTGCAACCAGCCTTCGGAGCTATCGACACCCACGTACCTACGGACCCCGTCCCGTCGATGATGGCCGTCACCGTGGCGAGGGCGTGCGCATTCCCTTTCAGACTTTTGTGCGTGCCCTGAAGGGAGGGAAAACAAGCGTGAGGCACGTCCCAGCAGCATCAGAGAAATGAGGCCACCCCCTCCACACGACAACTTACGAAAATGACCGCAAAGCAGATAAAAACGCGGGATATTTTCCATTAGAAATTTAAACTCTCCTCCATCCCAAACGTACCTTGGAAAGGTAGGCAAAGCTTCAGGGGTTTTTAATAGTCAAAAAATGTCAGAAATACTTGTTCAAGCACATTCTAGTTTAAAAAACTCTTAGAATTCTCTCCAAATAGAGAGTTAGCACGATCAACATCTTCACCGAGGCACCACATCGGCCCACACGGAAGATAAAAATACGGAGGACACGCGTCCCGTCGCGAGGCCGTGCCAGCCTGACACGCGCGCTTCTGCCAGGGGCTCCCTGTGACACGCGTCAGAGGGCTCCGCGGTGTCTAAACATCAACCCGATGCATGAC